CGGCTTCCTGACAGGCGCTGCCATCGCAACCTTTCTGGTGAGCCATCCATCCATCCCGATACGGGAGACCCTCTGTCAGCTCTGACCCAAGAAGCAGGACCACATGATAGTGAAGGGTGTGGCCTCTGTGTGACCTTGGGCAAGTCCCTTACCCTCACCCTGCCTAGATGTCCTTCTCATCTGTGAAATGGGATAACAGGACGAGGGTAAGTAGAGTGAGGTCCTCGCTATGAATGCAGAATTTAAGGGGGCACCAAAACACTCAGTAATCAAGGAAGATAATGTCTTAATGAAATATTTTTAAAAATCACAATGAGTGCAAAAACACATGTCCCAAGCATCGAAAACTTAAAGACAGGATCAGATCCTGTCCTTGCACGACTTAGCTTTATTTGTCTCGCCCTAGTCGTGGCCCTGTGGGATAAATGATAATAGTACCTACCTCTTAGTAAAGTAGAAAGAACAGGGCCTGGCGCATAAATGTACTGCTAAAATGTTAACTGAGGTTAACTGAGCCTCAGTTTCCCGATCTGAAAACTGGGGATGGTATTTACACAATGCCTACATATTGGCTTCAGGCTTCGAATGCACCTCTCCCTCTGCCCCAGGTCACCTGCGTTGTACACAACTTCCAGAGCCGGCGGCCCTCTGGCCGAAGGTTCTCCCCCTGGGAAGACCTGGGCCAAGCCCCCACCATGGACAGCCCCCTCGAAAAGTTAAGTGTGGCCCAGGTAAGGGGGGCCGGGGTCTGCTCCCGGCTGGAGAGGGTGGTGGGTGGAGGGGGACCAAGGAGGCAAGGAATTCGGGCAAGAGGTGGGGGTCTCTGGGCCACAGGGAGATAAAGGGATTGCTCGTCTTTGTGGACCTAGGTCCTGGGGGACAGTCACACAAAATAGAAGAATGTGTCATGGTTAATCTGGAAAACTCTAGTTGTCTTTTCCACTGGGCTCTCTGCCCAAAGAGCCCCTCATGGCTGTGGCCGGTGGGGCCCAGGGGGCCGCTAGCCCCTTCCCTCTGCCTCTTTGTCTCAGGAACCCGAGGCCTGCAGGCCGCATTCGACACCGGCACGGCTCACCCCATCCAGTGAGTGTCGAGGGGGTGGGGGGATAACCGGGGGGACTGCCAGGTCCCAGTCACTGCCACAGAGGTCTCGCCTATGCTCTCGTGGCCCTCTCCCAAGCTTTCTGATCCCCTGACCTCTGACCCTGACCCCCAGAGTCGCAGAACTGTGCCCGCCGTGGCCACCTGATCCCCAGCTGCGTGTCCTCCAGGGCTCCAGCCATGTGTTCGTCGCCCCGTGTGCCCCGCCCTCGATTGAGGTCTGAGCCGACGCCCCTGCCTCTGCCCCTGCCCCTGCCAGCACCAACCCCCAGCCAGGGCCCCTCACCCTCCTCCCCTGGGCCTGGGGGGCCGGGTGGGGGTGGTGGACGTGGTCGGAAGCTGCTTCTGCCCACACCCCTGCTTCGGGACCTGTACACCCTTAGTGGACTCTATCCCTCCCCCTTCCACCGGGACAACTTCAGCCCTTACCTGTTTGCCAGCCGTGACCACCTGTTGTGAGGCCCCACCACCCACCCAGAATCTTCCAGGTCCCCATTCCTTCCCTGCCACACGTGAGTGTGCGTGTGCCATGTGAGTGCCAAAGCCCCCTGTGCACAAACCAGCCAGGCCTAGATGTTAGAGGCTGGCTGGAAGGACATTTGGGGGGCCCCTGCCTCTCTTGCCCTCTGGAACATCCAAGTGGGCATAACTGGGAGGTGGGCCCTTGCCCCCAGGATGGCTCTTTTAGGGCCCAAACCTGGCCCCATTAGCCATTGCTGAGCCAATGGGAGTCCCCAGTTCTAAAACTTCTACTCAAAAGGAGTTTACTCCAGCCAATGGAGCCTCCCCTCACGTCTTAGAATCCTCAGGCAAGAGGGTAACTCCAGTTTGTGTTCAGTGTCTGAACAACCAATAGGAGTCCTTGGTTTTCAGAACTTCTAGGATGGGTGGGTATGATTCCAGTCAATGGGGGACCGCCAATGTCTAAGCATGTGTAGAGGAGAGGAGGGAGATGGGGTCATCCTGTGTCATTGGGTCCTCTCTCAGAATCAGAGAGTCCAGCTGGAGAATGGGGGGCAGGCTCCCCCGTGGCAGGGTTCTTGGAGCACCCCTTCCTCTCTCAGCCCCTCCCCCATGTGCAACCTCTCACTCAGTCCCTCCTAACTCCCAACTTACACAGGGCTTGCCCCAGTTCAGAGGTTTTGGGGTTCAGGGTGCTGTCTCTCCCCTTGTCTGTGCCCAGGTCACCTCAAACCCCTCTGTTATTAGGGCTGTGGGAGGGACTTTTTTTTGCCTTGGAGTCTGTCCCTGTTCTTTACACTGCCCCCCACCCCGGGCTCCAGCCTCATGCAGATGTGCCATCATGGGGGGCATGGGTGGAGCAGAGAGGGCTCCCCTGCCCCAGGCAGCCAAAGGCAGTGGGCAGAGGAGATACTGCCCCCCTTTCCTGCCCCCACCTTATCTTTAATAAAGACCTGTTTGTAACAGAAGTTTGGCCACCTGCCTTCCTCCTCCCCCAGGTGTTGGGGTGTGGAAGACTTTAATTGTGGGTCTGTAGGTGAGGTTGGGCGAGGGTTTATTGTCACAGCGTATCTGAGAGGGATGTGGAAAGCAGTGTGGGGCCATTGAGCCAGCGGCTTGGGTTTAAATCCTGGCTCAGCATTTCCTGGTCGCGTGACTTCAAGAAAGTTAATTAACCTCTCCGTTCTCTTGTTTCTTCATCTGTCAAACGCAGACAGTGCCACATGTAAGGCACACAAACACATGGTGAGCAGCCTCACACGACCGCCTCCTCCAGGCAGTTGGCCTGTTTTTGACTATGGTCAGGTGCAGAGGACCTGGGGAATAGGGTGAGGGCACTAGGACCCCCATGCCAAAACCTGGCTTCATGGATGAGAGCAAGGGTTCTGACTGTGAGGTTGTGCTGAGACCCAACCCTTGAGGACCCAGTGGAAACCAGGAGGGTAGGAGGGGCATGGAGGTACAGACCTCCCCACAACCCACTGCAGGTCTGAGGGGCTTCAGACAGGCCATTCGGGCCATGGAGTTATTCCGGAGCCAGGAAAGGGTTATCTGCTTCCCTTCCCCCCTTATTTCATTCATTCATTCATTCACTCACTCATTCACTCATTCATTCAGCAAACACTATGGATCAGCTACTGTGTGCCAGGTTCTGTGTAGTTAGGCACAGAGGTTGTAGCAGTGAACAGAAGAGACACAAATTTCTGCCATCAGGAAGCTAATATTCTAATACAGACAACAAGATAAATACACTAGACACAGAGTCACAACTCCAAATTTCAAAAATGTCTGAAAACCAAACTTCTTTCATAGCTCATTTGGCAAAGCCTGACCTTTACTGACATACAGTTATTATAGCTTTTATTTACTGAACTTTATGTGAATATTTTTTTTCAACGTTTATTTATTTTTGGGACAGAGAGAGACAGAGCATGAACGGGGGAGGGGCAGAGAGAGAGGGGGGCAGAGAGAGAGGGAGACACAGAATCGGAAACAGGCTCCAGGCTCTGAGCCATCAGCCCAGAGCCTGATGCGGGGCTCGAACTCACGGACCGCGAGATCGTGACCTGGCTGAAGTCGGACGCCTAACCGACTGCGCCACCCAGGCGCCCCGTGAATATTCTTTTTTAAATAAAGTTTATTTATTTATTTTTAAGAGAGAGGGAGAGAGAGAATCCCAAGCAGGCTCCATGCTATCAGTGCAGAGCCCGATGTGGGGCTTGAACCCATGGACTGTGAGATCATGATCTGAGCCAAAATCGAGAACTGGAGGCTTAATCATTTGAGTCACCCATGTGCCTTTTGATTTGAATATTCTCATGTTTCATTGCAGATAAAGGAAATTGTTTGATTTTGAGATGTTATCCCAGGCCCCACTAGGATGTTATGCAATACATAGTATTTATACCATAGTACCTTTCAAAAAAGATCTGAAGAATTCTGAATTCCAAATTCTAGGATCAAGGATTTAGGTCAGGGTTTGGGATCTCTGATACATTAGATATTGACAAGCGATAGGAGAAAATTCAAGCTAGAGAGGACAATGGACACCTTTGGGATGGGAACACAGCTTGCAATTTAAAGAGGCATAAAGGGGAGCCTGAGTGGCTGAGTTGGATAAGCATCTGACTCTTGATCTCAGCTCAGGTCCTGATCTCAGGGTCATGAGTTCAGGTTCCATGTTGGTCTCTGCACTGAGCGTGAAGACTAGTTAAAAAATAAATAAAATATAGATAGGTAGGTAGATATAAAGAGTTCAGGCCCTGAGTTGGGCTCTATGCTGGGCGTGAAGCCTGCTTATAAACAAACAAAAGCATGAGGAGGGAGGGAGAGAGCCATGTAAATAGGCAGGGGGGAAGGAACGTTTGAGGCAGAGGGAACAGCAAGCACCAAAGCTCTGAGGTGGAAACCAACCCCCTGTGTTCAGGGACCAGTGAGGAGACCTGTGCAGCTGGAGCTGAACGAGGCAGGGGGCAGATAGGAAAGGAGGTGGGGTAGGTGGCAGGGCTGATTGTGGGCCATGGGGAATTATATGGGGGCATGAGAGGGCTTAAGGCAGAGGAGAGAGAGAATCACGGAGCCCTCTTCTTCACCGAACAGAGCTTCTATTTCCAGGGATCCCACCCCTGAGACCTTGGTTCCTTCTGTTACACAGCTACCTCCACACGGGCCAGGAAAGAAGCAAAACTTCAGCACAGCGGACAGCGTTCCAGCCAACCCGGCCAGCGCTGTCCGTGGTTCTGAAACCAAGTGCTGGCTAAGAAAGGGTAAAGTGAAGGCCGCCGGACACAAAGAAGTGTTTGGGCCTGCTAGAGGGGGTGGAGACGGCCGACCTTACCTTGTCCACACCCCATCCCAGGATGGATAATTTTAGGTAGAAAACCCAGACCAAGGTATATGTACTTAAAAGATTTGTTGACATGCCCTGTACGCTTCACAGAATCTCAAACTCAACTCAACCAAAACTGAATTCTGGTTTATCATGCAAGTCAGACCACAACCTACCTCTGCTCAAAACCTCTCATGGCTGGTTCCCATGCATCCTGGTAAAAGTCAAAGTGCTCCCAGTGTCTCAGGGCCTTTGCACTTGCAGGTGCCTCCACTTGGAATGCTCTCCCTCCGCGCTCTACATGGTTTACTCTCTCAGCTCCTTCAAGCCTCTTCTCAAACGTCACCTTCTCATTGAGACCTGCCCCCTCTACCACCCTCTTTAAAATGGCAAGAAACAAACAACTGGTCCTTTCAGCTTTTTTCCCCCCCCTGGGCACAATTTTTTGCATACACTTATCATCCACTCATAGACTACTTAAACTCCTCTTTATGCTTAGTGGCCATTGTCTTCCCCCTCACTAGGATGTCAGGTCCACGAGGACAGAGACTTCTTTGTCTTTTTACTGCTGAAGCCCCAGGGCCTAAAACAGGGTCCGACACACAGTAGGTCCTCAATAAAATTTTGTTAAATGAATTATTTAATCACGTGACGCTGAAAGACAAGGGAGAAACACAGACTGACTGAGATATCTACTCCCCAGTCTCCTCACCCTTTGGTCCTCCCTCCCAGGACCTTCTCTGTGGTAAAAGTCCTTCCATCGGGATATGAAGACAGGCTTCTGAGAAAAGAAAGAAGTACTGTGTGTACAAGAAACATGCCAAACCTCTGCATCTCTGCCAACGTACTCAGTCTACACTTATGAGCACCTGCTGTGTGCTGAGTACTGTTCTAGGAGCTGGGGGCCCAGCAGTGAACAAAAGAAAGAACCTCCCTGGTGGAGCTGACATTCTAGTGAGGAGACAGGCAAGAAGAACAAGACATTGGAAATGATAAGTTATTTGAAAACAAAGACGGTGAAGCCGTTAAAAAGTGTAGGGCGTGCAATGTTACACAGGTGATCAGGGAAAGCCTCTGTAACGAGGTGATATTTGACCATGACCTGAATGGTGTGGGAAAATGAGCCACAGGGATATTTGGGAGCTGAGTTCCCTCAGCAAGGGAATAGTGAGTGCAATGGGGCTGTGTTGGACATGCTCTTGTGTACGTAACTGCACGACGACGTGATATATGTGTCACTACTGGGTGTTTGTGCATTTGGAGTGTTGCGAAGTGAGGTGAATCATGGTTGTGCATCTGCTGCGGGGGGATTGAGGTGATGCCTCTGACAAGGAATGCAACACGGTGGGGTGTGTGTGTGTGTGTGTAAAGAGCTGCAGTCACATTAGCTAAGGAAATGTGTGTGTGTGTGTGTGTAATAGCAATGGTATGGTTGTATCAGAGTGTGTTCTTGTGTGTGTGCAAGGGAAGGAGTGTGGGGACATAAGAGTGAGAGAAAGTGTGTATGGGATGTTTTGTGTTAGGATAGGGCTGTGAGCATGTGGGTGATGGGGCTTTTGAAAGTGGAATATAGGCAGAGATGCGTGTGGGTGTGCGCGCGCACACGTGTGTAAGGGGGGGTGTGTGAGGTGCCCAGCTGTGTGGGTGGATGTATTGCGGGATGTGGCGGATCTGTTTTCTGGCCCCAGAGGGAGAGAGAAAGCCCAGGAAATATCAGTTCCACCCCGCCCCTGTGTCTCCTGGCAACAGCACCACTTTGAAGTTACCAGGAGAGAGTTGCCAGGGCAACAGGGGTGAGTGGCAGCTCTGGGGCGAGGTCTGGGTGAGGAGACCCAGCCAACCCTCACTTAACCACTCACCTTGTTTCTCCTCTCCCAGTTTCTCAAAAATCCTATCTTCCTTTCTTCACTCATTCATTTAACAAGCATGTATTGAAAATCTGCAACCATCTAGTCACTGTTCTGGGCGCTGGAGACACCTAAGTGAACAAGACAAACAAGGTCCCCTGCCTTGGCTGTCCCTTAGTCTCCCACCCCCTGTCTTTTTGTCTCTCCTGGTGCTTCTTTGATCTATGGTCATGCCCACCCCACTTATTCCAAGCAAAACCCAAGGAGCCCCCAGGCCAATAAGGAAACCGGTTGAGATTCCTCTTCTCACAGACCCTCAGAGACGGCTGCTGATGTTTTGCACGTGAATGTTCCTGAGCCTGCAAGCCTCCAACACAGCTTGTGCAGATACTAAGGTGCAGAGGGAGAGACAAGCATACAAGTGCCTCCCTCCCTCACTTCCTCAGTTGTCATTGGGGGACATCAGCAGAAACACACACAGACAACATTCCCATCACAATAGTCCTCTGAGATATCACGAGCTCCATTTTATAGGTGAGCAGACTGAGGCTAGGAGACTTTAAGTAATGTGTCAGTGATTCGGGCCTGCTTCCTCCAACTCTCAACCCTCGTATGTGTCTAATTAGCTGATTAATTCACAATAGTAATATTCGCGTTGCTTCCTTCAGCGGACTCGCACAAGGGAAGGGCAATCTCTCCTTCAAGCGCCTCTATACCTCCTCCCTCAGACTGTTATTTGCCCCTTCACCAGGGGAGGAGCCAGTAAAGGCCGATCTAACTTTGATGGCAGATCCATGGACCAATGGAGACGCTAAGTGCATTGTAACCAATGAGACCTCGGCTTGGGCGGGATTAAGGGCAGGAAAGGGCCGCTGACTGGACAGGAGTATCTTACGAATGGCGGAGACGCTGAGGCGGGTGCTAAACCTAGGCACCTCAGCAAGGTCCGGGGAGGAGGACACAGCTGAGGCTGGACCGCCTTTGCTGCTGCTCGGCGGCCCAGGGTCTGGAAAGACAGCGCTGCTATTCGCGGCGGCCCTGGAAGCGGCAGGAGAGGGCCGAGGCCCCGTCCTCTTTCTGACTCGAAGGCCTCTTCAAAGCCTGCCCCGCGGGACTGGCGCAGCCCTCGACCCCCTGCGGCTACAGGTAACCGAGGGGCGGGACCGGAGGCGGGCTAGTTAGTACTGGGCGAATTGAGGATTGAGTGACAGGTAGACAGACCAATGGAGGAGAAGAAGGAAGAGCGAGCCTTAGCGGCCATTGTGGGGCGGAGTCATGAATGCGCGGGGCGGAATAATAGGGGCGGGACCATAGGAAGCTTTGTTAAGATTGGGAAACCGTTTGGTGAGGGGGCGGAGTTAGCGAAGAAAGGCGGTGCCCAACGGGTGGGGTTTGGGGGGGGGTGAGTAAGGGGTGGGGCTAAACCTGAGTCCAGTTTGAACGCCAGCTTTTCCTTTGGAGCCCATCAGGAGGTCCGACTAAGAACGCTATGGGCAGGTTTTCCGTGGAAAGATTGCCTTAGATACTTGGTAAGAAAAACATACCTTGTTCCTAGCTAACACCGGGCAGTGATAAATGCGGGATAAAAAACGGGGGTGGGCGCAGAGCATGTGACTCTTGAGCATGTTGAGTTCCAGCCCCACATTTGGCATAGATGACTTAAAAATAAAATCTTGTTATTAAAGAAAAGGGTGGTGAGTGGGTACGAATTGAAGAGCATGCGGCCATTCTGAACTGCTTCACTCGGAACCAGCTGTCTGGGGTCTGAGAGCCTAGTGCAGGGAAGTATATACAAGGAAGCAGGGCAGCTCTAGCTTGGAGCCTGCCTTCCTGAGCTGAATCTGGCCGTTTCCTTTTTTCCAACCTCTAGAAGATCCGCTTCCAGTACCCACCCTCAACCCATGAACTCCTTCAGCTTCTGTGCTCTGCCCATGAGGCCCGCGGTCCAGCCCCCTCCCTGCTGCTACTGGATGGCCTTGAGGAGTACCTAGTGGAAGACCAGGGACCCCAGGACGCCGCCTACCTGGCTGCGCTGCTTCTGGACACAGCTGCCCACTTCAGCCACCAGACTGGGCCTGGCCAGGGCTGTGGGCTCATTGTGGCCCTACAGACCCAAGAGGAGGGAGTCAGTGGGGATGCCCTGCAGGTGTCACTGCTCCAGCGGTATTTCCCTGCCCAGTGCTGGCTGCAGGCAGAGACACCAGGCCCAGGACAGCACCGCCTCCGAGCCTGCCTGGATCCAGGTGGGCTGGGGCCTAGGAGAGAGTGGTGCGTGGCTTTCCGACCAAATGGAGAGATGACAATCACCCCGTGGCCTACCCAGGCTGGTAACCTCAGCTTAGACAAAGGTTCAAGCTCTGGAGGCCAGCCTTGAGCTTTGGTGTGTGACAACCTCTCTATGCCTCAGTTTCCCATGCCTGGAATACTTACTTCAGGGACACATGCAGATTCAAAGACCTAAAGAATATAAAATGTTTTTTTCTCATTTAAAAGTAGCATTATCAGGGAACCTGGGTGGCTCAGTTGGTTAAATGTTGGACTCTTGATTTTGGCTCAGGTCATGATCTCATGGTTCGTGGGATCGAGCCCCACGTTGAGCTCTGCACTGACATCATGGAGCCTACTTGGGATTCTCTCTCTCTCTCGGCCCTTCCCCCACTCCCTCTCTCTCAAAATAAATAAATAAACTTAAAAAAAATAAAAATAGCATTATCATGAACCTGTTATGCCCAATTAACATTGTTGAATTTTGCTGTTTTGAACTTTATAAAAAGTTTCATGATAAATGTAATCTTCTGAGACTTCCTTCTTCTCCCACTCAACATTATCATTTAAGATTAGGCCAGTTTTGGGGTGCCTGGGTGGCTCAGTTGGTTAAGTGGCCAACTTCGGCTCAGGCCATGATCTCGCGGTCCATGAGTTTGAGCCCTGCATCGGGCTCTGTGCTGACAGCTTGGAGCCTGGAGCCTGCTTCAAATTCTGTGTCTCCCTCTCTCTCTGCCCCTTCCTTATTCGCACTTTGTCTTTCAAAAATGAATAAATGTTAAAAAATTTTAAAAAGATTCGGCCACTTTTTAGTTCACTGCTTTCTCCCTACTTCATATGGTTCCATGGGTGACCATATCCCAACTTATTCATCAAAGGACATATCTGCTGCTATGAACATTCTTGCACACATGTCCTGGCTCACGCGTGTGAGAGTTTTTAGGGTATTTAGCTAGGGGTGGCTTTGGTAGAGCTTCTAGAAGGCCTGCATATGCCCATCTTTCCTAGGTCATGTCTAACTTAGTGATATCATTATTATTCGTGGCAGAAACTAGCCAGAGGCTCAGGCAACAGCTTTCCTTCCCCAGGGAGCACAGCCAAACTGCATTTCCGCCCCCCCCCCCCCCAACGGTCCATGGATCAAGCTGGGGTCCTGGGACTGTTTCTAATCCCTAAAATGGCCCCCAGCATCTTCTGTTTTCTCTTTGCTGCTTGGTTAGCAAGATGCCGGGGGTCCATCTACAGACCAGCAGGGTCTGGGCTTCTGACTCATCCCAGAAATGGCTGCCTGCCTGCTTGCATTGAAATCTGAGAGAGAAACCATTTAATGTGTAAAGCCAGTCATATTTAGGAGGTTTTTTTGTTTTGTTTTGTTATGGCAGCTAGTATAACATATACTGAGTCCTTCATTCTATTAGGATTATTATTCATATCGCCAGGTCCAGAATTTCAGACTGAGCTCGAGGCCTTTTCCCGTTGCCTATGGTCTGGGCCCAGGGAAAGATGGGGCCTACAAGGATCTTTGTAGAAGTCATGAAAGGGGGGAAAATATTACATACGCACACAAACACACATACACCCATACAACTCTATACATTTTAAAATACTCCAAGGTTGTACTGAGCAGGACGGACTGGGCAGAAAGCCGAGGTTAGCAATGCCCCTGGTCCTGAGGGAGCCCTCACCAACCCTGCTCAATAAGTCTAGGGCCTGGGCTAGCACTTGAGGTCACGCTGGGTCCCCACGCATCTGAGGGCTGGAGTCCTAGGAGCAGGCCACATAGCTGGGGGGTGAAGGCTCAGTGGCTGGGATGAGGCTGTTCTCATAAGGGTTCAAGTAGGGGCCAGTGGATGAGTCCCCCTGGGCTTCCTGGGAGCCCCCTGAGCTGTAGTCCGTTGAGATGCCAGAGTCAGACACCATGAGGTACAGGTACTTTATGTGGGGTGGGGTGGGGGGCAGCTCAGGGGGCAGCGCTCTTGGGCGCAAGAGCTGGGAGCTGGGATCCAGGATCGTGTACTCAAAGCTGGCACCCAAGGCCCCCTCTGGCCCAGGCTTCAGGGACAAGGCAGATGAGCAGGAGGAGGCTTCTGAGCATTTATCCATGGCTACCATGTCCAAACTGCCATCAGGCCGCGGGAGATCCTCGCTGGGTGGGTTCCGGGGCAGCAACCACTTGTCCAGCACCAGGTAGGTGTCTTGGGTATGTTCACTGCCCAGCGGCTCCAGCAGGGGCCCCTCCTCTGCCCCCGGCTCCGCTGCCTGGGTAGCCCCCCAGCAACGCTCAGAGAGGACTTCCAGCGGGGAGGGTGGGTCCTCTGCAAAGGGAGTGCAGGGGCTCCACCAAAGACAGCCCTCATTCTGGTACAGCCACAGCTGGGGAAACAGCACCAGCCTGCTCAGAGACCTACGGTTCAGCCACAGGAGCAGGGAAACCCCAGGCCCCGAGGGGACAACCAGGCCACCTACCTGGAAGTTACCCTTGTGGGTGGTGAAGAGGCCCTCAAACTCACTCTCGGGGCTTGGGATACCAGGCCAGATCTTCTGCTTCAGAGTCCTGGTGAAGCCAACAAGAAACAATTACATGGGTATGTGTCACTGAATGCTCACCAATACCCCCCTAAGAAGCAGCCACAGGGGCACAGATAGTCCTAGTCCCTCATAATCACAAGGCAGAGGAGTGCATAGGGGCTGAGGAACAGAGGCTCTGGCTGAAGCATCTGCAAGGCCCTACAGATGGGTGACTGGAACAGGGTTTTGAAGGATGCATAGGAGTTCCACATACACTGCCTGGTGCTCTCCCTTAACCTGGCCCAGGCTTGTCTGGATGTTCATTATGTTACTTCCCTTCTCACTCCTTTCCATAATTCCCCGAATGTACTCAGAATAAAATTCGGGGGCACCTGGGTGGCTCCGTCGGTTGGTTGAACATCCGACTCCTGATTTTGGCCCAGGTCATGATCTCACGGTTTGTGAGTTCGAGCCCTGCATTGGGCTCTGCACTGACTGCAGAGCCTGCTTGGGATTCTCTCTCTCTCTTTCTCTCTCTCTCCCTTTCTCCCTGTCCCTCTTCATCTTATGTATGCTTTCTCTCTCTCCCTCTCAAAATAAATAAAGTTAAAAAATTAAAAAAAAAAAAAAAAAAGAATAACAATCTCTTCTCCACAGCCCTGCAGACAACCTTGCATGTTCTGACCCCTGTGACCTCCCTCACCTCATCATTCACCACTTCCTCATAATATATTCTGCTCTAGCCAGAGATACCCTCTTGGCAGCTGCTTCAGTGCTCCCAAGCTCATTCCCACCTCGGGGCCTTTGCACTTGCTGTTCCTTTTCAATTGCCTCGCGGCTGCCTTTGTCCAACCGTCAGGTTTCCATTCTGATATCATCTTCCAGAGGCCTTCCCTGACCATTCTGTCACGGCCCCACACCCCATTTGTTTCTGTGATAGCACTTACCACAATGGATAATCAAATATCTGTTGGTGGGATGCCTGGGTGGCTCAGTCGGTTGAGCAGCCAACTTTTGATTTTGGCTCTGGTCATGATCTCATTGTTTGTGGGATCAAGCCCTGCGTCGGGCTCTACACTGACAGCATGGAGCCTGCTTGGGATTCTCTCTCTTTCCTCTCTGCTCCCGTATATGTTGGTACCCTTGTTTGCTATTCGACTCAGCTTTGAGATCCACAAGGTCAGAGAGATGTTTGTTTTCCACTTTCTCCCCAGTGCCTAGCACAGAGTTGGCACTCAGTATGTATTTTCCAACCAAATAAATAAACAAGGCCCTTAAAGACAACAGAATACTGCTTGGCAGACAAGGCAGGAAAGGCATTGCAGGCAGAAGGAACAGCATGTGCCAAGGCTTGGGGGTATGAAACCACATAGTATGAGCTACGAATAACAAAAACCTCAGGATGGCTGGTCCTACCATAAATAATCTAAGGAGCTTGATAACAGAGGCAGGAGGCACTCAGGATGTTAAATCTTTCCATGCGGCCCATCTGGGGATTTTACAAAAGTTGATGAAATTGGGAAAAGGAACAAGCAAAGGAATTCAAAAAGGAGCAACCGCTGAGGTTCAAGGAAAACCAGGTGAATGTTCCCAAGAATTTTAACTAAGATTCTGGATATGGTCTGGCTTGCATCCCAGCCCTGCCACGGACTCCTCACTGTGTGTCCCTGGGCAAAGTGCCTTTCCGTCTCTGAGCCTAGCTTTCCACAGCAAAAGGAGAACGTAAGTGCGTTGGAGTCTGGGCTAGGTGCCCGAATGGGGCGCTCACCGGCGGTGGGAAAGCAGGGCGAGCACGGCCAGCAGCAGCAGGATGAGCACGAGGATGAGTGAGAGCGTCAGGATGAGAGGGTCCAAGTCTACAAAGCAGGGAGGAAGTCAGGATAGTAGGATTACCCCATGCTCCTTCCCAGGCCCTCCTAGCTCCTAGCTGGGGCCTCACCACTAGCTGTCAGCAGCGACGCAGGCTCGGACCAGGCGCTCCAGAAGCCACCGAAGCTCGGCTCAGCCATACGCGCGCGAACCATAAAAGTGTAGCGCGTTCGGCCGCGAAGGTTGCTCAGTGCGCACTCAGTGCGGCCATCCAGGATCTCCACCTGGGGGCGGGGCCTGGGTGAGAGGCGTGGTCAATAGGGGCGGGGCGAGCAGAGAAAAGCTTGTGGGGGCGGCACTGAGCCAATCAGAGAAAGGAAGGACAGCTTCGCAACACTGCGGTGAGGGGGAAGGGCAATGAAAGCAAGAGGCGGGTTCCAGGAAGGCTCGGGCCAATCAGGACGGAGGCCCAGGGAGCAGGGGGCGGTCTCGGGCTATTTAGGGGCGTGGCTAGGGAGCCAAGGGTCGGGATGTTGAAGGGGTGTAGTATTTGGGACAAGGGGGTAAGTGGGCTTTGGGCTTGGGTCCAGGTGGACTGGGAGGCACTGGGAAGGAAGACATGTCAGTGGGAGTTGATGTGTTTTGGGCAAAGAGATGACGGGCGTCAGAGGTGGGCCTGGAGGGCGAGGCCAGGAGGCGGGGCCATGCTGGCCATCGGGGCGGGATTTAGAAGGGGAGGCGGGGCTGTCCACCACACAGCCTTTTGGACTGGCGGTCGGGGCGGCCTCACCTTCTGAGCGCCCCCTGCGACGTTGCCTGAGGAGATGTTCACTTCGTAGCGGATCAGACTTGCGACGGGGGCTCCAGGAGGCGGGAGCCAACGCAGTACCACGTGGCCGCCCTCGTCGGCCCGCCGCGCCAGCAGCCCCGCGGGGGGGTCCAGGAGCACTGCGAGAGGGGTTGATCAGGTGGGCGGTGACCGAGACTCCCTCACCCGACAATTTCCCCATTCCCTGCGCACGTACCCACTTCGTTGATGTGGATGATACGGTGATAGCGTGGAGCGCCCGAGGATACGGCTGTGACGCGCAGCTCTAAGGGCACAAAGCTCGACGCGTCGGCCGTAGGCAGCGAGCACCAGAAACGCACAGCGCCGCGAGCCGTGGGCGCCTGGTGCAGGCTACATGGCTTCCACGGTTCGCCCCTGTGCGCCAAGGGGCCAGAGAGGGAAGGGAGCAAGTTGGGGGTGGGGGGTGCGAGAGAGTTTGTATTGCCTGGAGCTGGGGCCCGGTTTGGACACTACCACCAGGGGGCGTCCGGCCCCCGACTACGCGACGCCTTCGTCCTATTTGTTTTTTTTATAAATTTTTTTTTCAACGTTTATTTATTTTTGGGACAGAGAGAGACAGAGCATGAACGGGGGAGGGGCAGAGAGAGAGGGAGACACAGAATCGGAAACAGGCTCCAGGCTCTGAGCCATCAGCCCAGAGCGTGACGCGGGGCTCGAACTCACGGACCGCGAGATCGTGACCTGGCTGAAGTCGGACGCTTAACCGACTGCGCCACCCAGGCGCCCCGCCTTCGTCCTATTTGGAGGGGTGCTGTCCCTGCCCAAATGTTTGGGATCGCTCCGCAACAGAGATCGCGAGACTGTTCCGGCCCCAGCCACTAGGGGGCGCGTCGGCACTGACCCCGGGGCTTCCCACCAGTGACCGCCAGTGGCCTCGCGTCCCACCAGTGTCCTCCCGCTCCCGACGCCAGCAGATGTCCCAAAGTGTGAGCCCTTCCCCACCCGCCCCCTCCTCAGAGGGTGGGGGCGCTCCACCTGCCCCGTCGCACTCACTCGAGCTGGTAGAAGAAGCTGTAGTTGTCGGGGCCGACCCCGGCGCTTGCCGCCTCCTCCCAGAAGCACACCAGGTCCTCCAACCGTTCGGTGAAGCACAGAAGCTCTTCGGGACCGCGGGCAGCCAGCAGGGCCGCTGCGGGGGGAGGGGGACACGGGGAGGGGGTCGGGAGAGCCCAGTCCTCGGGCCACAGCAGCCTCCCCCTCCCTCCCGCCGCCTGTGCGAACCGATAAGCAAAAAGCCCCGCCTCGCTCGCTAGCCCAAGCGGGGGCCCTCGAAGGGTCCGCGGAGGTGGTGCCCCCCGCCCCGAACTCCGAAGCGCTGGCGGCTTGCCTTACTGTTCCCACACACGCCCCCGCCCACCCCACAACCCGCTGGACCGCGCGCGGCTTGGAGGGCCGCGGTCCCGCGCTGCCCGCCCCGCCCCGGCCCAGGACAGGCGAACCACTGGACGTGTGCGGAGAAGGCGGGGCCCCCTATCGGCCCCGGCAGGCTGCCGGCAGCCCGATAGCGCCAACCGTGAACCCCTCCCTCGCCTCTTCCCTCGACCCGGCAAGCCGAGGCTTCTGGCGCCCGCATACAAACCATGTTTACAGTCGCCTGAGGCCCGGCCCCTCGGCCTCGACGCGGGCTTTGTCCTCCCTCCCCCGGTGGAGGGTCGGCCAGATCCCCTCTCCTGGGGACTCTAGATTTCGAGGCCTAGACCCAGCACCAACCCTGCCCCGTTAGGATTTATTATGTCCCCGGCTCCCTGAAAAGATAAAACGGGAAACTTATGCCCCCCACCCCTCCCCCCACCCCCGCCCACAACACAGTCTGGAGTCTTAGACCCCAGCATGCTACGCCAGGTGCCACTCTAAGGAGGTTCAGCCCCCAGCCCCCAGATCCTAGACTGTAGACTGTAGGGTCAGAACCCGGCGTGGCTCCCAGGACCCAGGCTGGAAGTTCAGGCCTCGGCATTGCCCTCCAGGAACCATTGCTGGGGTCTACACACAGATCCATCCTTACCTTTACTTTCGAACTTGGGGTCCAGGGGGTTGGGTGGGGGAGCCCAGGCGGCCCCAGCGAGCAAGAGACAGAGAGAGCCGACTCCAGGCCAGAGGGGCGCCCAGAGGTGATCCATGATGCAACCCCCGCCACGGGGGGCGCAGGGCCCCTGCTCCCCTTCCGCCCCTGGCACAATCCACAGCTGGGTCAGCAGCTGCCTCCGCCGGACACAGCTGACCAGGCCCTTCCCGGCCAGGCGCCTCCAAGTGGCAGCTCCCCCGAGGGGGCGGGACCACACGCAGCCTGGGCCGAGATAAGCCGGAGGCGGCCGTCCTGCCGCCCAGGCGGGAGGGGGCGGGGCCCTTAGAGACCCCGCGACTGCTTGGGGGTCAGGGACAGTGCCGGTTTCTGCACTTTCTTACTGTGTGACTCTGGACAGGTGGCTTATCTGAGCTTCAGCCTTCTCATCTATCAAATCCGGTTTGGCACATAGCAAATATTCCAAAAATGTAACATACTGGTATTATCGTGCTAATCAACATCTCTTCCCAGTCTGGGTAGGAATAAATAATCATAATAGCGACTGGCGGTTGAGTGCGCAGTGCTAGGCAGTGTGGCCAGACGATATATACCATACATATATTCTGGCATGTTGATAAAACAACATTCTGGATGTTGAAATTTGTGATTTTTAAAAAAGTTTTTATTTTTGACAGAGAGACAGAGAGAGAGAGAGAATCCGAAGCAGGAATTCCAGTACAAAGCGTGAAAGCTATTTGCTTGGGCTCAGCTTTTTTTTTTTTTTTTTT